CTTGGTAGCCCAGGCTGGCCTCGAACTCACAGAGATCCGCCTGCCTCTGCCTCCCGAGTGCTGGGATTAAAGGCGTGCGCCACCACCGCCCGGCTCTAAGAAGTACTTTTAACCACTGATCCATCTCTCCAGCTCCCAGAAATATTTCTTTCCTTTTTCTTTTTGGCTTTTTTTTTTTTTCTTTTTTAGACAGGGTCTCACTATATAGCTCTGGCTGTCCTGGAACTCATATGTAGTCCAGGTTGGTCTTGAGCTCACAGAAATCTGGCTGCCTCTGCCTCCCAAGGGCTGAGATTAAAAGCATGCACCACTACACCAGGTCACAAATATTTCTTGAATGGCGTTTTGAAGAGAAAGCTGAAACTGTCCTTCCTAGGCTGCTTGCTCCTGTCTGTGAACTTGAATCTGGGTCAGCAAGAGAGAAGGGAGCCCCAGTGCTTAGACCTGCCCTTCTCACGGGCCCAGGAGCTGTCCCTGTCACACTGGCCACTAACTTCTGAAGTGCCCCCCAGGCCTTTTTTCTCCATGTACCTAGAAACAGACCGTAGGGATTGGTGGATAAGCCAGAGAAGCCAGAACCTGGTGGGGCTGGGGGCATTTCTAGAAGGGGGTTACTCTCACAGCAGCTCCCTCCCCTGGTGTTCCCAAGTCAGCAAGAAGCAGGATCCAGCAGGGCCCCTCCCTTTTGGGGTACCACAGTCCCCATTGTCTTCTCTGTCCTGCCAGGGCTACAGGAATACCCCACCTGATCAGGACACAGCCCATCCCTGCTGAGACTCCAATCTGATCAAACGGTGAGCTCCTGGCCATAGTCCAATTAAGTGAAAGTAGATCCAGCCTTATCGGGTTCAGGCGGTAGTCCCTGGGGTGGTCCTGAGGTGGCCCCGAAGGGTCCCTGTCTGTTTGATTTTTCTGCTCAGACACACTTGTTTAAACAGACCCCCAGGGTTTTCGGTAACCAGATCCAGGCCTGGAGTATGATTGCCAGGTAAGGGAGGTCCTCAGAGAGATGCTGGCTGGGGGGGTGGGGGGGTGGAGAGGGGGGCAGTGAGGGGAGAAAGGAGGGAAAGGAGGTCAGAGGAAGAGGAGAGTGAAGAAGCCACATTCAGAATACAGAGGATTCCCTGGACTTTGTCAGTGGGTTCAAATCCTGGCCCCGGCCCTTTGGGCTTGTGTCCTCTGAGAACGTTGCTGAGCTTTCCAGCTGTGGCCAGGGTCAAGCCCAGGGGACAAGCTGATGCTCGATGCAGGAAGGAGACCCCCAGTGCCCTCTGAGAGCAGTCACATGGGGCTGGCCAGGTACCTTTGTATCAACTGGGGCTAGGGAGGGCTCTGGGATCCAGGGAGGTTAACTGAGGTAAGTTGGACATGTTCTCTCCCCACCTGCTGCTCCAAACCAACCCATCTCTCTGAGGCAGCACCTGTCTGGTGTGGTCAAGGGCAGAAGCACGTGGGCTTCTGCCCTTGACCACGTGTGTGCACAAAACCCTCCAAAACTGTTTCCTCATCTTCTAGATCACAGATGTCCACCCTAATAACCCCTCCTGCACCTGCTTTAGTTTCATGGATGCCACTGACATTGAATTACAGTTTTATCACTTCCTTGGAGCTTCAACCCCTGGGGAGCTTCATTTGGCTGAGGCAGTCTCCCGCTTAGCACAGAGCTCAGCACACAGTAGATGCTCAATAAAGCGCTTCCAGTGCTCGAGTACATTCCCCACACACAGTGACTTTAGCAATGTTGCCAGTCTCTTTCTCTGTGTGTTTTCTCTTCCCACAAGGCAGGGTCACCTCACATCCTATCACTGTGAGGTGTGAACTAGAGAAGGCTTGGGAAGAGGTTTGTGTACGGCTGGTACCGAAGAAGCCTGTAGGACATGGTTTTGTTCTAAGAGGACGGCGGACCTTCCAGAAGGCTGATTTTGAGGAGAGTGAGGTAGCCATAAAAGCCTCAGGTCTGAGTCTTTCTGGCACACCAAGGGATTCCACCCCAAATTCATCCCTGCCCCTCAGTGACCCTCCAAACTGACTAGATGTCCAGGTCTTCTTGGAGGTAAAAGGACAAAGGTCAAGGGAGTCACGTGGTTAGGGAACCCCTTTACATTCCTGCTTTTTATTTTGTTTTGTTTGGTTGGTTTGGGTTTTTTGAGACTGGGTTTCTCTGTGTAACCCTAGCTGAAATGGAATTCACTCTGTAGACCAGGCTGGCCTTGAACTCATAGAGATCCGCCTGCCTCTGCCTCCTAAGTGCTGGGATTAAAAGTATGCACCGCCGCTGCCTAGCCACATTCCTGTTCTAACTGGTCCTGTGGCTGCTTGGCTGTGATTGACATCATTGGGCCCTACCCAGGTGCATCCTTTTGGGAGGGTGGCTTCATGACAGAGGCCATGGAGTTTCCCTCAGGAAGATGCTGGGCTAAGGCTCATATGGGAGGAGTAAGCCTGAGAGAGTGAGAACTAGGCTAGGCTGAGGGAGGGGGAACGGCAGAGGCGGGGGTCGGAGCAGAGGCAGCGAGCTGCGGAGGTTTGGGTGACAAGGGGCAGCATGGGAGTTGTGCCCTTGCGTCGCCACCTTAAAAGGCAAATATGGAAGGCAGCCTCGGCCTGACAATCAGACTTCACTCCAATGTCAGGTCAGTAGTGAGGATGGGAGACAGATGCGATGGTGTCTCTGAGTCCAGAACCTCTTTATTTTCTGGACCATGTCTAGGATCCCTCATGATCCCACCCAGCTGAGGAGATGACAGGCCTGGGAGGCTGTAGTCCATGGAGAGGGAAGGGCAGTGTTAGCTGCTGACAGGAAACAAGGCATCTGTACAGAGGATCCCTGGAGCTCCTAGCTTCTCAGTCTCGGGGAACAAACGAAGAGAGATAGAAAGACTCTCTAAGGGCCATCGGAGCACCCTGGGTGTCCTAGCCATGTCCTAGTCATGTCCTAGCCAGGCCAGGCACACATGGAGTGGTTGGTGCCTTCATGGAGACCTCCACTTTCTACTGGACACAGGCCCTGGTGGTAGAATCAGGCCTCCCAGTGAGAACTGAAAGTCCGTGCTTGTAACTGTGCCATGGAATACATAATCCCATCAACTGTGGTGTGTTTCCCTGCCAGGCTACCGCTTACCCTTCGTCTCCAATTCACTTCTAACGTTGGGGTGGCCCTCATGGTCCCCTGTCCAGGAGAAAATGAACTGGGCAACTTGCAGAAGGTGGTTCCATTCAGCAAGGGAGTGTTACTGCAGAGTACCCTCAGCCTTGCCACAAGGGACTCTGAGTTGAAGCTGTGCATGTGCGTGTGTGTGTGTGTGTGTGTGTGTGTGTGTGTGTGTGTGTGTGTCTGGATGACATCTATGCGCATGCCAGAGGACAGTCTTGGGTGTTGTTGCCATGGAACTGTCCGTCTATTTTTTGGAGATCCATTCTACCCCTGGCCTGGAGCTCACCAAGAAGGCTAGGATAGTGTGTGTGCCACCCCACTTGGCTTTTTCACCCAGGTTCTGGGGATGGAACCCAGGGCCTTGTGCTTGTGTGGTAAACACTTTCCCAGCTCAGCCATCTCTCCTGCCCCGGAAGCTATATGGTTAGAGGCTTCTCTGACCCCTGGGACAACTTGGGCAGATCCCCCACACTGGACAGTTTAAGGCAACAGACATGGATCTTTTCATAGTCCCAGAGGCCGGCGATCTGAATCAAGCCTTGAGCAGGGCTGTGCTCTCTCTGAGACCCCGTGTACAACCGTTTTTCCTCCCCTGACCTTAGGGGTGGCCGCTGTCCCTGGAAACCTTTGCTTCTCAGCTGCACCACTCCCAGCCCTTGCCTGTTTCCATGGCGTCCTCTGTGACTGTGTCCAAGTTTCTTCTTGGAAGGACACCAGTTGTCCTCGATTAAGCATCCCTCTCCTCCATGGCCTCATCCTAAATGGCTTCCTTCTGAGGACCTCATTTCTAAAGAAGGGCACATCTTCCAGTAACAAGGGTTGGCATTGCCTACTTGTCCTTTGCAGAGAACACGATTAGACCCACAACAGGCCATATGTGTGTCCTCTTGGTGGCTGGTCACTCATGCTGCAGTCCCTGGCGGTGGCTTGGAATGGCCACTTCCTTCCACCAGGACTTCATCCAGTAGAGCATGTTTGCTGGGCCATCATCACGGCCCTGTGTGTTACGGAGGAGGAAGCTGACGTCTGTCAAGATTCTCCTGCAAAACTTGCATCTGAAACAGTAGTGGCTGTTGGAATTCCAAACCGAGCCCCATCGGTCCCTCCCCTCCCCTCCCCTCCCCTCAAAGGTCAGGGTGGCAGGCAGGATAGGCAGAGGTGGGGCAGGTGGGCCAGTCCAGGCCCTGCTGACTCATGGGAGTGTTAATGTCCCTGCAGCCTGTTGTTGCGGTTGCCAGGGAGCTGATTAAGATGTCACGGAAGATTATGATGTCAGGTGCAGGAGTCAAGCTCCAGGGGGGTGACTGCTAGGCTGGGAAGGTTGCCCTGGCAACAGAGACAGGACATCCATGCTGAGTAGGGACATAGACTAGTAGGAGGGGCATGGGGTCCAGAGTGATTGTCTTGGGTACCAAGTCTGCCTTTCTGTTCCACAGCTGGGTGGGTGAGCTTGAGGGGAAAGTCTTCCCTTTTTGAATATCTTCTCTTTCTCCCCAAATGGGAGAACAATCCCATTCCTATGAGGCTTGAATGGGGTTGACAAAAAAAGACCCCCAGCTTCACAAGTGTTTGCCAAGTCCCCAGGGATCCCTAGCCAGGCAGGAGCTCCCAAGCCGAGGCTCAGGCATGGGCAGACTTGCCCAGAGGTGGTGAAGGGGTGCCAACTCAGTCTCTGCCAGGTGCTGAGGCTGTCCAGAATGCAGGCTCACAGGGCCTCACTGAGCCCTGCTGGCAGCTTTCTCTGTGCTGACATCGGGAGAGTGAGTGGCCCCCTCAGGCTTTCTGTTCCAGCCCCCACAGCAGCCCCCACTCACTGCCCAGTCACCTGTCGCTTCCACTCAACCCTGAGCCTTCTTTCCCCAGGTCCCTGGAGCCCAGCACACTGCCCAGTACAGCCTAATGGATAAGGAAACAAATGATATCTCAAATTTTCCCTCTTCCCTCCTCTAATTGGCAATCCTTTCCTGGACCTCATTATATTCATTCCTATTTCCCCAGTTGTGACTTACATTCACCCACTAGCTCATCTGTATACCCACTAACCTACTCATCTACAATTCACCCATCTATTTGTGTACCCACACCTCCATCATGTACTAGCCCTTCCTACCATCCATTCACCCATAACAGTACCTATTTGCCCATTCATCCTGCTACCCATCCTTTCATTTACCTTTTACTTTGTCTAATCACTCCCTTCCTATCCATCTACTTTTCTTCTTAACACTTACCCACTCACCCATCCCACTACCTACCCATCTACCTAGGCCTCCATTCACCAATCTATTCACATACCCACCCATCTCTGCCTCCTGCCATTCATTCATTCATCAATCACTTCATCCACCTACCCATCATCTGCCCATCCATCACACAATTCACCCTTCATATCTAACTATCTTCTCCCATCCACTCCTCCATCCACCCATCAATCTATTAATCAGTTCGCCCAACCAACCATCCACCCATGCTTGCATGCATCAATCATTTCATCTACCCCCAATTCCTGAGTCTATGCATGCATGTATGTATGCATGCATCCATCCCTTCATCAGTTACCTCACCCATTCATGATTCCAACTCTCTAACTACCCACCTGCCAGTTCATGTGACCCTCCAACAAGAAGGCAGGAGATACTAGCTGGGAGTATGCCATCTAGGTGGCCCAAGGGGTTCACAGAGTCAAGTCAGAAGGGAACTCTGGCTCTGGGGGGAGGGTCCTCAGTCAATCTTGTAAGGCTGAGCGGACCCAAATGTCTGCACATATACAGGCACCTCAGCTCTATGGAGGAAGGAGGCCTGCAGAGAATGGAGAAAAGATACCATTTGGAGTTACAAAGGGCTCTGGAGCACAGGTAATGAGTGAAGAAGCAGTCCACTCTTCCAGGGCCCCCAGCACACACTCCATCCTCTGCTGCAGCCCTTACCTAGGTTCAGAGAGGCTAAGCTATTGCCTATGTCATGAGCAGGTAAGCGATGGAGCTCCAAAGCCAGCCAGCCCCTCGGGAAAGCTTACCAGACCCTTTCTTTGTGCCTTGGGACTTCCTATTCTCCTCCATACTCTGCACCTGCTGTCCACGCCTTGCTAGACTGGCCACTCCGGGTAGCAGGGACATGTCATTTTGACCCCGATTTTCCGCAGTTCTAGGAACATGGTGGACTCTCAGAGCATCTTTCCTGGGATGCTGGGGATGCACAGAGCCCTATGCTGAGCCAGTGGACTGTTCCTTGGTTCCCAACCTTCTTGCACCCCTTCCCCAAGCTGGCTGGTGGTTCTAGTCTCTGGGTGTACTGGCCATTGGACCCACACTCTCCAACCACTGCTGGCAGGGCTGGCATGCCTGCAGCACCAGCTGATTCTCTGAGGGGACACACAGAGCACCAACAGATAATTGAACAGATTACAGGAGAGTGGAACCGCTGAACGTTGATTTACTGTGCGTCATCCCTGCTTCGGGGACTTTATTAGAAATTGAAGAATGGCTTCCTGACTTGAGGCTGTGTGTCACCTCCAACCGTCGCCAAAGCAGTGCTGGCTCCCAAGGTGTCTGCAGTCGCTGCTTATGAGTGCTCAGTGTGATGGGGACAGCGACAGCTATAGGACGAGGTCACTGCAGAGAATGAGCCCCCTCCTCCCTCTATGTGGGGAGATGCTGTGGGAACATGGTGGACGAGGGGGAGTCCTGCAGATGGTGACTCACCTCATTATCAGATCTAGCTCAGTCTTGCCCCTTATACCAGCCAGAGGTGATACCAGGATCCTGAGATGAAGGGCAAGAAGAGCACCCAAGTGTGTGAAGTGTCGTCTCACAGGGAGCCGGAGAGATGGCCCAGTGGTTAAGGGCACTTGTTGCTCTTCCAGGAGACCCAGGTTCAATTCCCAGCACTCACACGGTCACTCTCAACCATCTGTAAGGCCAATTCCAGAGGACCTCTCTTCTGCCTCCGCAGACACCAAGCATACACACATGGTGAATATATATGCACACAGGCAAAACATGTATACATACAAAATAAAGAGAAATAATTAAAATACCTCACAGTACCTGAAAACTCCAGGGTCCCAGTCAAGGTCCACCTGCATCCAAGCAGTGCATTTCCAAGGGCCCCAGAGCTGAAAGCCTGGCTGCTTTACTGGGTCCCTGGTTTGAGATCCCTGGTGACAGAGGACTCCCTTGACTACTGTGCACACACAGTTATGACTCTCCCTAACACATCTTGTTACCTGACTCTTGGCTTTCTCCATTCTCCACTTCGCTGGAACCTGTTAGTATACCAGTCCCCACTGGGGTCTCAGGCTAGCCAATGGGTCCAGATTAGGATTCACAAGACTAAGGAAAAGCTTACAACCACTAAAAGACTTCGCTATGGAGCTGTAGAGGAAGGGGGAGTGTCGTGTTTCTTGCCCCAGCTCTGGGTCTTAAAAAGGAATGTTTTTATTCTAACTCTACCAGACTTCTTTCACCAGAAGTTTCTTTTCTGTGCTTGGCTATGGTGCTATTCTCCTGCTAGACTATAATCACCATAGCAACAGTATGGGGGGCAGGGGGTGCTCCTGAGGGCATGGCCCCCACAGTGAATTAGTACATTATGGCGCAGTGGGTTAGCTTTTGTGGGAGTGGGATCCTAATAAAAACAACGAGTTCAGAGTCAGACATGCTGGCACAGGCTTGTCACCCTGAGCTCTCGGGAGGCTAAGGCAAGAGTATCAAGAATCCAAGGCCAGCCTGGTGAGGCCAAATTTCATTTAAAAAAAAAAAAAAAGAGTTCAGCCTCTTTCCTCTCTCAAGTCAAATTATTTGGCAGATGACTGGCCCTGTCAGCAGTCTAGGAGTATTCCTGGTGCCTTACATGCTCACCAGTGCCCGATGCTGTCAGTGTTTGAAATTGGAGCTGTTGGAATAAGAATAGACACAGTGGCATCCCTCTGTCTGTTTAAGGCCACCTTTCTTGATGCCATACGCTCTCAAGGCTCTGTCTTTTCTTTTTATATATATGTATTTTTGAAACTTGGTTTCATATAGCCCAGGCTAGCCTCCAATTTATTAGGCAACAGAGAGTGATCTTGAATTTCTGTCCCCTTGCCTCTATCTCCAGAGTGCTGGAATCACAGGCATGTCCCTCCATGCCCAGTGTATGCAGAACTGGGGATCGAACCAGGGACTTGTACATGCTAGGCAAGTACTCTGCCCTCTAAGCCACATCTCCATGCCAAGAAGCATCTCTTCATACGCTTGTCTGTAGGCATCTGTCTGCCTTCGTTGGTAGAATGTTGACTCATTAATAGTAGGTTAATTTTAATAATAAAAAAATTATGCATTCTTGGATTGGAACACAGAGCCTTCTACATGCCAAGCATGTGAGTTACATCCCACATCTTCAGCTTTTGGGGTTTTGTTGGTTTGTTTGTTTGTTTTTAGACAAGTCTGGGATTACAGGCATGTACTACCTTGTTGGACTGAAGAAAGTCTTGTTGGAACAACTAGATATTTACATGCAAACAAGAAAAAAGGCAGGGATGGAGGAAAGGATGCAGGGAGAGAGAGAGTATATACATAAAAAAATAAATTAAAATTCATCAAAGGTGTAAAAGTGTAACACAACGTCATACAATTTAGAGAAAGGTAACAGTAGAAAAGAAATGATCTTGGACTTAGCCACTGTCTTAGACGCTTGTCTGTTTTTGCGACAAAACTCCATGGCCAAGACAACTTATGGGAGGGAGCGTTTCCTTGGCTCACGGTTCCAAAGGTCAGATAGAGTCCCTGGCATCAGGTGTAACATGGCAGGAGGCGGCAGGCAGGATGGCAGGGACGGGAAGCTGAGAGATCACATTTTGAACTATCAGGAAGCAGTTCAACAATCTGAAAGTGGCAGACAGCTTTCAATTCTGACGACCCCACCCCCCATAGTACCAAATTATAGTTTACAGCAAGTCTGGAGTGAGCAGGGTGGTCCCTCTCACTCTGTTCTTATCAGTATTACGCTGCTGTCTGGGTCTCTTGGCCCTCTGTACAAACTTAAAATGAATTTTTTGGTATCTACAACACAGCCTTCCGGGAGGTGCCTTGACTCCAGAGAAGTTGAGACGTGCGTGGCAACCTTGACAATCTGGAGTTTTCTCGCACACAGCGGGGGTCAGCACTACATCATTCAGTTCTTCCCTTCATCTCCTTCCGTGTGTTTCTTTCAGGTTTTTTTTTTTTTTTTTTTTCACTTAGATGTTGTTTGGGTCTCATTAGAATGATAGCTATATAGTTCATCTCAGGGAAAGTGTAAATTATGCTGTGTTTATAACCAGATTTCACCTGTTCCTTTCTGTCCTTAAGAAAACAACTGAATCTGTGCATTTCTGTAATTACTGATTCATTCTATGAGGTGTGTGTGTGTGTGTGTGTGTGTGTGTGTGTGTGTGTGTGCACATGCATGCCTTTTCGGTGCTCATTTTCACTCATGGAAGTCATGAGGAGCTCTTGCCTGCATGTTAACTGTTGGCCCCTTCCTCACGCAGCAGGCTTGACCCTGGCATTCAGTAGGTGCCCAACGTAACGAAGATTTTCTACATACCTGTTCACAGTGTTTGCATAGTATGGCCTTTCAGAGCAAGACAAATTCACACTGGAAACCCAGCTCCACAAGACGTGACTTCAAGCAAGTGACCATGTCTGAGCCTTGCTATAAAACGAGACGGTATGATGCTACCTTGGGTGGATGTCGTGTGTCTGGTATGTTCTGGGGTCTTCCCGTTGGTGTCTCAGCGCTGTGGCCTGGCTGGGTTGATCCTTGTTGAGGTATTTTCATTCTCATGTGGTTAGTGTGGCCCTGGAAGCTGGCTCTCTGCAACTCTCTGGGTATGTATCATAATGCCCCCCACCAACACCCCAATCCCTGTGCTAGTCCAGAGTCCATCAATATTGCCTTAAGCCTCTTGTTATTCTGATGCAGTGTGTGAACTTTCAGGAAACCAGTCAGTTTTCCTCGAGGACACTTCTGGTCACTGCAGCGAAAGAGGCAGGCTTTGTCCATTTACTCTATTAAGGTGGAAACTCATAGGGCCTTATGATTTCTTAGTGACAACTCTTGAAGTATCTCCTCCCAAGTACTATGTGACTAGTATATCTTAACTCACAGTGGCCCAAAAGAAAGGAGCCACCATCCTACTTCACAGATGAGGAAGCAGACTCTGAGGACAGCACTCAAGCAACCAAGCCAATGTGACAGTTCCTCTGGGGTACATTATGGTCGGGTACCATGGCCTGATGAGCGACCTGTGTCCAAACACATGGATACAGATGGTGAGATTCTATGTGCAGTCCTCTACCTGTCCCCAAGTATCCTTAGTTATCTGTAGGGACTTATTGAGCTGAAAACATCTCACAGTTTAGCCTATGTATTGATATTTACTTAAAAAATATCCAAATTGTATTAGTCACTCCTCTCATTGTGACAAAATACCCTGGCAAGAGAGAATTTAAGAAATGAAGATTTCCTTTGGCTCACAGTTTGAGACAGTACAGTCTATGATGGCAGGGAAGACATGGAGATAAGGTCAGTCAGGAGGCTGGTTGATCACACCACAGTTTCAGGAAGCAGAGTGTGAACAGGAAGTGGAGTGGGGCTGGATAGCCTCAAAGCCTACTCTCATTGACCTCCATCCTTCAGCAAGGTTCCACCTCCTGAAGGTTCCACAACCTTTCCAAACACACCGCCAGCTGGAACTAACACAGGTTCAAGCACATGAGCCTGTGAGGACATTTCACATTCAAACCATAACGGTGCTATAACAAAAGTCAATAATACCTGAAATGCACAGTCTATTAAGTTTTAACCCGATTTGTGGGTAAAATTTCCATTGTCTATTTGGGTGGATAGGCTAAAACACCAGCAACATGGGACTTCTGCACTTTTGAATCTTTGTGGAGGCCAGAAGTTCAAGGTCATGATGCTCAGGTTGGTTCCTGGTGAGACACTCATCACAGCTTATAGAGGGCTACCTCCTTGCTGTGTGCTTACAAGGCTTTCCCCTCGGATCTTTCTTTTGAGGGTGCCAGGCTCACGGGTTTAAGCGTGCCTGTGTGACTTCATTTAGCTCATCCTAAAAGTCCACTCTCCAAATAAAGTCATGGGGCAGGAGTAGGCCTTCCATATACGAATTTAGAGAGCCATAGCACTATTAGCTTTTTCATTGTTCAACAAAATTTTATTACTATTTATTTACAGAGCAACAACCAGATGTATGGGACCAATGAGGCTACCATTGTTATGTAGAGCCAGGCTGCAGCATGACAGGTGTCTCTGGCTTTGAGCCCTTCTGTTCAGAGCTAGGGCTGATAGAGTTCGCACTCAAGAAATCTTAACAATGTGGTTCTCTAAAGAAGACCTGTACAATGACACCATTTGACAGCCCAGCACAGATGGGGGAAATCTCACAAGGCCTCATCCCTAGATAAACTGTAGGCATCAATGGATGCTGAGAGGTGTGGTATTGTGTTCCCCAAAATATTGTGCACTCTAATAACTTATCTGGGATCAGAGACAGAACAGCCACAATATTAAACATAAAGGTTAGGCAGTGGTAGCACACGCCTTTAATCCTAGCATTCCAGAGGCAGAAATCCATCTGTTCAAGGATTCAGCCAAGCATGGTGACTCATGCCTTTAATCCCAGAAAGCTAGCCTTTAATCTCAGGGAATGGTGGTAGAAAGCAGAAAGGTATATAAGGCGTGAGGACCAGGAACTAGAGGCATTTGGCCTGGTTAAGCATTTTGGCTGGTTAAGCTTTTAGGCTTTTGAGCAGCAGTTCAGCTGAGATCCATTCTGGATGAGGACTCAGAGGCATCCAGTCTGAGGAAACAGGATCAGCTGAGGAACTGGCAAGACCTTCTAAGATTCCTGCTACAGAGAGGAGTGTCAGTCTTCTCCAGAGATGAGCCCCAAGTAGATCATCCAATAGGAGCAACACTAAATGGACCATATTAGTCAGTGTTCTGTTGCTGAGAAGAGACACCATGACCACAGCAACTCTTATAAAAAGAAAGATTATAAAAATTTGATTGGGGCTGGCTTACAGTTTCAGAGGTTAGACCAATATTATCATGGTGGGGAGCATAGTGACATGCACGCAGACATGGTGCTGGAGAAGTAGCTGAGAGCTCTACAATCTGGATCCATAGGCACGAGGAAGAGCCACTGGGCCTGGCTTGAGTATTTGACACCTCAAAGCCCATCCCTCAGTGACACACTTCCTCCAACATGCCATACCTGCTCCAGCAAAGCAACACCTCCTAATCCCTCCTAAACAGTGCCACTCCCTGATGACTAAGCATTCAAACATATGAGCCTATGGGAGTCATTCAGATCACCACATGAACTCAGCTGCTTTCATTCATTCATTCATTCATTCATTCATCTCTCTCTCTCTCTCTCTCTCTCTATATATATATATATATATATATATATATATATATATATATATAAATAAAATTAAAGGAGAGCATGTCATAAAAAGGAATGGAGAAGGATACCAGAGAAGTTGGAGGGGGAGAGAAAATGGGGTGAAAATGATATAAATACAGTTCTCATGTCTGGAATTCCCAAAAATAACAATAAATAAATAACTATTAATAATAATAGTAAATAATAAATTAATAAATAATAGTAAATAATAATAAAAAACCAAAGAGGCCAGGCAATGGTGGCACCTCCTTGGATTCCAGCACTTGGGAGGTAGCAGCAGAAAGATCTCTATGAGTTCAAGAGCAGCCTGGTCTACAGAGTAAGTTCCAGGACAGCCAGAGCTATAAAGAGAAATTGTGTCTTAAAAAATAAAAAGAAAAAAGAAAAAAGAAAAAAGAAAAGAAAAAGAAAAAAGAAACCAAGAGATCAAGTATGCGTTGTTTCATGTCACTGTGCAAATCTCCCTGCTATTCCAATTTGATTGTACATGTTTCAAAGACATTATCAAGCAATACATCTATTTTGCCTTTAAAAAAAGTTCTATGGGTGAAACCTGGGGTGCTAATTAAATGATGTGTCACTGAGCTACACCCCCAGTCTAGAAATCTTCAACTTTTAAAGCCTAATTGCTTATCCAAGTGTATGCAAGAAAATTTTGCCCATAAAGGTTTATTGTGTAATTGTTAGGATAGTGAAAATCAAAGCTACTCCAGTGTTCAACCACAAGAGAGGCTGAGTAAATGATGGCGCCCTGACCAGTAATTATAAATGGGAAGCCACCTTTTGAACAGTTAATAAAAAGCACTGAACACTGCCTGTACTCGTAGTTTAGGATATGAAGGGACACCCAAGATACTGCACTAAGCTAAAAGCAAACAAGAAGTGGATCTGGGCTGTCGATGTGACTTGGGGTAAGGACGCTTGCCACCAAGCCTGAGGACCTGCGTTTGATGCCCAGAACTCACATGGGGCAAGAAGGGAATGGATTCCTGCAACTTGCTGCCTGACCTCCACCAGTACCACGTGTGCGCGCGCGCGCACACACACACACACACACACACACACACACACACACACACAAATAAGCATAATACATTTTTAAAAACACAGTTTAAAATGACATTAGCACTCTGGTTTTAACGCTATTAATAAAAGAATTAAACACATTAAAAAAGAATGGAAAGTGTAACCGCTGTTACAGAGCTTGGCCAGGAGTGATGAGAGTAATTGAAATTATATTTATTATTTTAAAATATCCGTTAGTTTCCCAATTCAATGTGTACACTATTTCTCCAATGAAATCATGTTAGAAGCTACTCTGAAAAACTCAATTGCTTGGGAATGAGAGCAGAGCCACCTGGCTAGGTTTAGGTGTTCATAGAAATGATCACACACAGTTGAAGGCATAGAGACAGGCGCATCTGAGTCACAGAGCCAGGCATGGGCAGCTGGGGGCAATTCTCCTGAGCTTCTCTGGGACTCAGTGCCCACATCTGTAAAATGGGTATCACATTAGGTACAGGTTGGAAAGTTTCCTTAACAGGTGCCTCAGTTGGTCTAAACCATTTCCAGGCAGCTCATCTGGTTTAGGTTTCTTCCTGGCAGCTGGTTTGCTCTGAGGGTCTTCTTTGCAGCTCTGGTTTGTCCAGGAGAAAGGCCCTCAGCTTTTTTGGGTACTCTACAAGGGAGGGGCCTAGTGAATCTGGTCAGTTTCAGGGACTTCCTGAGGCTGTTTTGAGTTGTTTGCCTGCCTATTTAAGGTGCTTCTCTGCAGGATGGAACGGTTCAGGATGGAGGAAACTGTTACAAAACAAGGGGAAGGCCAGAGCTCCCAGGGCCATCACCCACCATGCACTACATTGCAGAAAGGTGAGTGCCCACTTGCCCGCCAAGAGGAAACCTTGAATGGCCCGAGCAGGTGGGACTGGGTCAGCATTGATCATCCTGAGCCTCAGCTGAACACCTGGACCTCTATTGCTGCTTCTGCCCAGGAAGCAGGGAATGGCATTAGTGAAAAACACAACTCAGGTCGGAAGACTACAGAAGGCACACACACCTGCTGTGGCTCTGTTAGGGCAAGGAAGGGCTAGCCAGCTGGGAGGACAGAGGAAGGGGGTGACGTCGTTAAAGGCCCAAGCTGTGGACCTGTGTTTATGTGCAGTCTGATGAGTTCTAGCCAGACTTTAAGGATGGCAAATGGGCAGGTGCTCGGTAGAGACAAGAACCACTTCCCAAAGAGCTCTC